AAATAATCATTTATTCATAATATCAACAAACAAGTAAAATTACAAAAATTCTTAAATAATGTTATGTCTGACTTAAGTAATAAATTGTAAATTTAATCAAGAAAATTAAATCCAAATTTCTAACATTAAAAATCAAACTAATCATATAACATATATTATAATTTATATAAAAATATTAAACTGCAAATTTAAAAATTTTAATTTAACTAAATTAAATAATATATATTAATCAGACCAACAACTTAAGATTTATAAACATATACAACATTATTTTTTAAACTTTGAAGGTTTAAAGTTTAATCGATAACTTAAAATCTTACTCATCCCAACTAACTACATTATAACAAGAACAGAAGAAATCAACAATAATGGAAAATAAAAATAAAAAAATAAATAACCAACTTTATTGAGACCCCCAAACTTAATTAACTTACACTCTAATCTATAAAAATACAAAGAACTAATCAACATATTAACGTAAATATATAACATAAACAATGACCTAAACATTATCACAATCAAAATAAAAACTAAATTATTTGCCTTCATAAACAAAAAAAAAAAAGTAGAATATCATTTTAAATAAAATATAGTGAACGGGGGCAGTCCAGCTACATTAAATATAATAAATAAAAACAATAAATTTAAATTAACATTCCTTACTACAATAAACCCCTTAAATACCTTAAAATTAAAAAACATATAAACAGATATAAAAAGAGACAGAGAATATAAAACAATATATTTAAAAGCCAAATAATAGTTTTTATATAAACTAACATTAACATCCAACTAGACTGATTAATGGAAGAGTAAGCAGCAATAACCTTAAAATTTGTTAAATCCAAAGGCATAAAAGGAGGAATAATAGAAGATAAAATTAATACAATATACAAAACAAAAAAATTATCAATTTTAACTAAAGATATTATGTAAAATGGAACAACCTTTTGAATTGTAACCAAAAAAATTAATATATCCCACGGCATAAATTTAGAAATCAATGGCAACCAAAAATGGAAAGGAGGAATCCTTAATTTAATACCTAAAGTCAACATTAATATAACATAAAGATAACTATTAGATATAAAGATCCTATTAACAATAATAGGAAAAACTAATAAAAATGAAGATATAATCTGAATAATAAAATAAAAAAAAACCATCTTCTTATTATCTATAAACATATTCAATATGTAAATAAATATCAAATTAATAATCTCTAATAAAAATCAAATAATAATTAAATCACAAACAAATAAAGAAATATAAGAAAATACAAATAAATTAATCAAAACAATATACCTCAATATAGAATATTTAATAAAAATACTTAAATAATCATCTAAATTAATTTAAATTATAAAATAACTAACCATTAATATAATAACAATAACTAATTAATCTTAAAAATTAATATTGACAAAAAATTAACTAAATTACCTTTGTTAAAATTTCACTTTAATTTAACTTTTATTAAAAATTCACTACTAAAATATACACTTTAATGTACGAAGCATAAAAACTTTTGAAGTCTAAAGAAATAGTTTAATTCTATTAAGTATAACAAAAATATATTATATTAATGAAAGTATAATATTATACATAATTTATTCCATCAAAATAATCCTTTAATCAGGCACATCATTTAAAATAAACTAATAAAAATTATAAAAACTTTAAATAAGAAAATTAATCATAATTATATAGTTATAGAGTATGAATCTAAAAGCTTAATTTAGCTTACTCATTTAGGTTAAACTAAAATTTACAGTAAATTTTAGTTTAACCTAAAACATTTTATTTACAATAAATAGACTTTATTATTACAAAATAAAAAATTTTACAAAGATAAATAAACTATATCAAATGAAATTTTATAAGAAAAATCTATAAGATATAAGTTTAATGAAATAAATCAAAATAATGATTAAAATTTTATTTAAGTTATATTATTATATATTTAACTTATGCTAATTTAAAAGCAATGAATTTATTTTTTACGAATTTTTAATGAAAATTCACAAAAATCATAATAATTAAATAATATAATAGAAAATTTACTGACTTATCTAATAAATGAAAAATTAAAAATAATAATACAATAAATTAGAAAAGAATATAAAATAACTTTTCAAAAAACTAGATTTTTAAAAACTTTAATGGCAAAAAAATAAAAATTAATCTAATTAACTAAAAATGAACTTAATAAATATTGAATTATAAAAAATTAAATTAATATAAAATCAAATATAACTAATTTAAAATAATGTAATTATAATCCACTCGATCTAGCAAATAACCACGGTTTTTAAAAACAAAGGTAAAACTCCTAAAACCGGAGTTTTTAATACATTAATTTTTTAATCATATATATTTATTTACATATTTTATTAATTAAAAAACAATATAATAAATATTGCAACAAAAAAATTAACCATATAAAAACTTAATTTTAATTTTTAAAATTTACTTTATGAATAAAATATATATAAAAATCCTTAAAATTAAAAATAAATCTTAAATAGACTTAAAACAAAAATTAATATTTATATTAACTCAAAATTAACCAAAATTAACCTAGTAATTCATAAAAATAGCGAGAAAAAATAGTGCCAGCACTAGCGGTTAAACTAAATACTATAAGTAAATTTCTCCATTAACAAAACAATTATCAATAGTTAAAATAAAAAACAAAGAGTTTAAGGAAATTTAGATTTCTATGGTGAAATATGAAAATACTTAATACCGATTAAACTACCTTAGCACAAGCAACAAAAAAAAATTAAAAAAATTAAAAAATAAACTAGGATTAGATACCCTATTATTTTAATGAAAACCGCTGTTAATAAAAATTAAATGTAAAACATTAAATTTGAACAATTTGGCGGTATTTTAAAAAGTTAGAGGAATTTGTTTAATAAATGATAACCCACGAGAGGAAAGTCTTAATAAAATCTTATATATCGTTGTTTTAAAATCATTCCAAGAGAAAAAATAATTAACACATCTAATTACTTCATTAAAACTAACAGTATTAATTAATTTAATTTAATAAATATACATATCAAAATGAAAAAAAGATAAAAATTCAAATCAAAATGTAGAATTATTAAGAAAAAAATGAATTACAATTAACACAAATTAATTACAAATTTACACTTATATTTAAACATTATAAATAAGAAGAATTTAATAGTAAATTTAAAAAATCTTTTAAATTGAAACTTAAATAAAATATGTACAAATCGCCCGTCATTTTCATAAACCAATAGTTGAAAGAAGTCGTAACAAAGTAAGTGTATAGGAATATGCATTTAGACTAAATCCTAAAATTAATTTATATAATGAATTTATTAAGGCCATCATCTAACATAAATAAAAATATACAAAATCTACCTCATTGTTAAATATATAAAATTAAAAAATTCCATTAAATTATACCAATCAGTAATGTAAATGAAAATTCAGACAAATATATAAAAGTAAACTTAATTGATTGTACCTTTTGTATCAGGGTTTATTAAAAATAAATTATAAATTATTAAATATCTCGAATTCAAAAGAGCTATTAACCACGCCCACCTACAAAAATTATGTTAATTAATGTAGAAAAATTATTAAAAATAATTTAATAGAAGAAACATTCTAGTCAATTTTGAATATACCTAGTTTTTTTATATTTAAATTCAATTTATCTTTAAATTAATCAAGAAACATAATATGTTTAAATAAAAAATATAGCATATTATAATTTAAAGAAAGATATTATGGGATAAATTATAATGTAAATTAAAACAGTAAAAATATACTTAAATATAATAATATTAATTAAATTTCAAAATTATAAAAAAATTTAACAATTTATATAATAACATATTTGTTAATAAATTAAACAAAAAATAAAAATAATTATTAAAAGTTAAAAAAATAACAGATTTTAAATTCAAATTAAACATTTATAATAATAAAATATAAAAATATTTATACAAACTAACGAAATGAAAAAATAATGATAAAATTAGTAAAACAAAAACAAAATATAAATAATTACAGAAACCAATCAAAAATTTAATTTTAGGAACTAGGCAAAATAATTAAGTTCAATTGTTTAATAAAAACATTGTTTTTTGATTATAATAAAAAATACCCTACTGCTCAATGAAAAATTTTTAAATAGCTGCAGTATATTGACTGTACAAAGGTAGCATAATAAATTGTTTTTCAATTGTAAACTAGAATGAACGTAATAATGAAACTTAAACTGTCTTAAATTAAAAATAATGAACTTAATTATTAAATAAAAATTTTTAAATAATTTTATGGGACGAGAAGACCCTATAGAATTTTATATACAATATATTTATCATTACCTTAATTTCGTTATAAATATAACGTATATTTAATTGTTAAATTAATAAAACTTTAATTAATACAAAATACAAATTAATAAAATTAATTAAGAAGGAAAAATTAATTAAAAAAGAATTAATTACCTTAGGGATAACAGCGTAATAGTTTTGGAAAGTACATATTTATAAAACTGATTGCGACCTCGATGTTGAATTAAGAAAGTAATTAAATGTAGAAGTTTAATATCTAAGTCTGTTCGACTTTTAAAATCTTACATGATTTGAGTTTAGATCGGCGTAAGCCAGATCGGTTTCTATCTATAATCAAACTAATAAATATTTGTACGAAAGGACTTTATTTATGAATTATATTCTTACCTCATAAAAACATAAAAATATTAAAACCATAATAATAAATTAAACAACTTAATCTGTTAATTTATTATTTCCCACCAATTACTTTGGCAGACTAGTGCATTAAATTTAGAATTTAAAATAAATATAAAAAATGAAACTATATTAAGTAATAATATGACTCTACTTAAAATACTTAATACTTAACCTAACAAGATTAATTATTCTAGAAATTTACGTACTAATCAGAGTTGCATTCTTAACACTTCTAGAACGAAAAATCTTAAGATATGTTCAAAATCGGAAGGGCCCCAACAAAGTGGGCCCTGCAGGATTGCTCCAGCCTTTCAGTGACGCAATTAAACTATTCAACAAAGAACTATTCACAATCTACAAATCAAGATACATAATGTACTATCTATGCCCTATTGTCTTATTTTCTATAAGCTTAATGAATTGATTTATATATTCACATATCACCAACCTTTACTTTTTAAATTACTCCCTCCTATCCTTAATTATCATTTTAACCATCATAAGGTACATATTCATATTCATGGGATGAGCATCAAATTCAATGTACTCCCTCATAGGAGCAGTGCGGACTATCTCACAGACTCTGTCTTACGAAGTAAGATTAATCATAATTTTTTTAATTCTAATGATTCTGAGGGAGAGATATTCCTTTAATGACTTTATCAAATGACAATCCCACACTTGATATATCTTTATAACTATGCCCTTATTCATAGTATTTACCATTAGCATACTTGCCGAACTAAACCGAAGACCCATAGACTTCATCGAAGGAGAGTCCGAATTAGTCTCAGGATTCAATGTAGAATATTTTAGGGGAACATTCGCATTAATTTTTATAGCCGAATACAGAATAATTATTTTGTACAGATATCTCACCACAATATTATTTACCAGAATAGCTCACTCAAACTGACTGGGAGTATTCATCAACTTAATAACCTTTCTAATCATTCTGTTACGAGGTATACTACCCCGAATGCGATATGACGAACTTATATACTTATGTTGAAAAATTATTCTACCATTCATCTTAAATTATGTAATTTTTATGATAATATTTAAAGCCACATTCATATTCATTTCCTAGCCAAACTAATAAACTCAGAACAATACTAAAAAAAATTAATAGAAAATTAAATTTCTTTATTATGTTTTCAACACATATTCTTATATCAAGATCATTAATTTATACTAATACACACAAACAATCCACATAAATAAACACTAACAACATTATAATCCAGCCAAAATCAGTAACTACCACTTTTAAATAAAATCAACCCAAAAATTAAAAAACGCCCATATCAAATCTAATCAACATTAAACTTTAAACCCTTAGACAACCTATAGTTAACATACAAAATAAAAAAAACAAAAAATAAATAACAGTTATTCCCTGACTAATAATAACATAAGGATCCTCAATTACTTGGGCCCCTGCCCAAGTAAGCAAAATAAATTTATTAACAAAAACTCAATAAATTAACTGATGTAAAACATAAAGAGGAGACATTTTAATGTACTTAGTACTAACCAAAGGCAAAAAATAAAGAATAATTAAAGACATCGCCAATGCAACCACCCCCCCGAGCTTATTCGGAATAGATCGAAGAATAGCATAAGCAAAAAGAAAATACCACTCAGGCTGAATGTGAGTTGGAGTAACAAGCGGGTTAGCTGGAATAAAATTATCCGGATCCCTTAAAACATAAGGATACTCCATAATAACAATATAAAAAACAAACATAACAATCACGAATCCAAATAAATCTTTTATAGTAAAAAAAGGATGAAATGGAATTTTATATAAGTCCCTATTTGTACCCAACGGATTACACGATCCCGATAAATGTAAAAAAAACAAATGAATAAAGACAAAAATAAAATAATAAAAGGCAAAACAAAATGAAACGAAAAAAATCGATTGATAGTAGAATTATTAATGGAAAATCCCCCCCAAAAAAATCCACATAACCAATGTACTCCCCACATAGGGGACTGTAGAAACAAGATTAGTAATTACAGTAGCACCCCAAAAAGATATTTGGCCCCAAGGCAGAACATACCCTAAAAAAGCAGTAGTTATAGACAATAATAAAATAGACACACCAGACACCCAAGTATGACCCAAAACAAAGGAATTATAATAAATATTTCGCCCAATATGATGATATAAACAAATAAAAAAAAACGAAGCACCATTTATATGAACATTATGTATAATCCAACCATTAGGGACATTCTGAACAATATGAATAATCCTCTCAAAAGCAATACTTACATTTGGACAATAATGAATAGACAAAAATAATCCCCTCAAAATTTGAACAAACAAATAAAGGCCCAAAATAGAACCAAAATTCCACCAATAAAAAATATTAACAGGGGTGGGCAAATTAATCATTGAATTTTTAATAAAAATATAAATTTTATTCATAAGCACCGACAAAAAAAATAAAAAAAAAGAAACTAACTTGAATACAAAATAAAACATACTCTACTTGCTAACCTTCCGTAAAGCCAAAGAAGATTTAACAAGACAAATTTTAATGACGATGGACGTCCTTCGGGTTCGTGTAATTTCGGAGTCATTAAATTAGGCATCAAAGGGTATTCAGAATCATCTGAAGAAGAAGTACAATAACGAATACCCTCTCATTTAAATTTAATACCATATCCATCCCAGATACAGAGGCTACATTAAAATTCATAAACAAAGAATAGGAAAGATTCCCACCTCCAACGTCAGCCTTAACCAGATATAATAAAAATATATTCATAAGAAAAACCAATATAAAGCCCCTATTTAAATAATAATTATTCCATATATTAGAAATCAAACTAGTAAAATAGGAGATAGAAGAGAAGTGAAAAACTACAAAGGTATCACCTTAATTGACACAGCGTACAAGATATATGCAAATATATTGAACGAGAAACTGGGAAAAGAAGTGGAAGATAAGCTGAAGGACACGCAATTTGGGTTCAGGAAGGGAAGAGGGACGATGGATGCAATCTACCTCATAAACTGTGTGGTAAACAGAGAGCTGAGCAGGAAAAGAGGAAAGATCTTCGCCTTCTTCGCAGATCTCAAGGCGGCGTTTGACAAGGTACTAAGAGGACAACTGGAAGAGACGATGAAAAAGATAGAGATAGAGAACAACCTTAGGAGAAGAATTATGGAAATTTACAAAGAAACGTTTAACGTGGTTAAGATAGGAGAGAAGTGTTCGGAAGGTTTTTGGACAAGGAGAGGACTAAGACAGGGATGCCCACTGAGCCCAACGCTGTTCAACATCTATATAATGGATCTGGAAGAGGAGATGAAGAGAGGCCAGGTGGGGGGAATTGTGGTAGGGAAAGAAAAG